TTATATAACGTAGGTTGGGGAATTTCAGTTAATCTTTATATAACGTAGGTTGGGGAATTTCAGTTAATCTTTATATAACGTAGGTTGGGGAATTTCAGTTAATCTTTATATAACGTAGGTTGGGGAATTTCAGTTAAACTTTATATAACGTAGGTTGGGGAATTTCAGTAAACTTTATATAACGTAGGTTGGGGAATTTCAGTTAAACTTTATATAACGTAGGTTGGGGAATTTCAGTTAAACTTTATATAACGTAGGTTGGTAAATTTCAGTTAAACTTCATATAACGTAGGTTGGGGAATTTCAGTAAACTTTATATAACGTAGGTTGGGGAATTTCAGTTAATCTTTATATAACGTAGGTTGGGGAATTTCAGTTAATCTTTATATAACGTAGGTTGGGGAATTTCAGTAAACTTTATATAACGTAGGTTGGGGAATTTCAGTAAACTTTCTGCGATTTCTTGTCAGAAACGTATTATTTAGAAAATAATGGTTTTTACCTATGTCATCGAAAAATTCAATACTTTCTCGAAACTTTATCTATATATGATGTTTACCCTAAACCTATTTTCTCTAACTGTACTCACGATAAAAGTCGATCGGTAAACCTATTTTTTACTAAATGTAATCACGACAAAAGTCGATCGGTAAACCTATTTTTTCTAAATGTAATCACCTCAGTAGTCCACCGTTAATATATATTTTTTATAAATGTAATTACGACAAAAGTCTATCGTTAAGCCTGTTTTTTTTCTTCTAAATGTAATCACGGTAAAAGCATATCTAAATTAATTAAATATGTATTATAGAAAACCACTAAAGAAAGTTTCGCCAGATTTCGAAATTCTTTAGCCATAACAAGTAAATCGATCATAGCAGGAAAAAATGTGAGATATTGCTTTTTGGTTAAGAAATACTTCAAAGCCTTTTAATGTACTTACACATTCCTTCCCCTAGAAGCCAGACTTCCGGTTTCGAATGAAGTTCTATCAATACAGTGGGCATACAGACTAGTAACACCAGAAGGTCAGCAATACTCAGGTTGATCAGGAAGAAGTTGGTAGAGTTCCTCAAGTCTTTAGTCCGACAGACGACAACGGGCACGAGAATATTGCCAGTGGTTCCAACGGCTAATAACACAGCACAGAGAACAGTGGCCACTGTTCGGATATAGTTCGGAAATTCCAGACGAACATCTTCGACATCGTTTGAGAAAGTACAGTTTAGAAACAATGAAAAGTTCGGCAGAACGTTATTCGCGTTTGAAGACATGCAGTCAGTTACATTCAGTGAGAGTGATGATGTCATGCTCCAGCAAAAAAAAAGAGTAAGGAAGAAATAGAGTAAACATTTAAACTGGGATTAACATGTTAAAGGTGTATGTTATTATAAACTAGCAAATATCCCGACTTGTGATGGCTTGATGAAGTTTTCAAACTCTTCGCTCATCTCCTGTGACAAACACGAGAAAAGGCAAACCGTCGTCTGATGACGGCCGATTTCTTAGCGCAGTCTGACGTCCCACTTTCAAACGTTGTAGCGAACAGGAGAAATAAAGTTATTCAAGTGTCAGCCTTCTGGCACGTCCGCTTATCCTCAAACAAATTCGATGTAATATCTGCCCCTCCCCCTTTGCTCAGACAGGCAAGGCGCCGCTAACAGCTCCCCCTGTGGAGCGGACTATTCCGTGTGGTCGTGTCGATCAGCCGTGAAACCTATTAGATCCTGATGTGGAAGGATATATTACTATAAGTCAAGTCTCACTCCGCTGTGAAGATGAGGAGAGAGAGAGCGAGAGAAAGAGACCTTTTCCGCCAGATTGAAGTGTGAACTTGTGAAGCCTACCTGAGGATGGCTTTTGATTAAGTTACATCTTCATTTTTTTTCCTTTCTTAGAGGACGTTGTAGATTTAGATTGAAGTCTGGTTTTCTGCTGTTAACGTTGACTGAGCTAAAAATGTACAGAACAGAATTGGTTGATTTATCTAAATATTGAAGTAACTAGTTGATTTTGTTAGATTGTATATACAGTATACGATAAAATAATAACACTGAGAGTTCTACAACAAAAAATATCAACGCTATTTATTCTTCTATCAAATGATGTCCACAAGTGCAAATCCACAAATAACATAGATAGTATTAAATACAGTTTTACATACAAAAATTAATTGAACGCTAACCATATCATTGTTCGTGACCGGCTTAACAAAAAGTATCTCACTGCTCCTGTTTAAATATCTTTGTTTTATTATGTAGTTCTTGCACAATCTTTAGGTTTCAACTGAAACACCAACAGGAGCGATTTTAGGTTAAGTATGCTTTTAACATCGTAAAAAAGACATTTTTTTTCTTATTTCAGATCGATCACATTTGTGAATTCGTTTGTTTGTCTTGTCGTTAAACTCAAATCTACACAAAGGACTCTCTGTGTTGTGCCAACTACAGGTATCGAAACCTTGTTATTTTTATTATAAGCCTTCAAACTTACCTCTGAGTCACTAGGGGAGATCACACTTGTAAAAATGTCGTTATGTATGTTTCTGCTGTAAAATGAGTGATTTTACCTAATATATACTTGGGTGTGATCACACTTGTAAAATGTTGTTATGTATGTTTCTGCGGTAAAATGAGTGATTTTCCTAATATATACTTGGGGGGATCACACATGTAAAATGTTGTTATGTATGTTTCAGCTGTAAAATGAGTGATTTTACCAAAACAAGTGTGATCACACCCGAGTATATAAAAAAATGTACTTGTGTATGTTTGTGCTGTAAAATAAGTGATTTTACTTAATATATACTCTTACTAGTTAACATGTGTTAGTATATCCAATAAGACGTGTATAAAAAATCATTGGTCATTAGAGTCATCTAAAAGTTGACTCCTTTTATCTCGCGGCGACCTGTGATTATAGAAAAGCAATGGCCCAAGAAGACCATGGTTCAAGAATATCTTTCCTTCTCCCCATAGCCTAAGTCTACTAACGTCGCATAAGTAAGATAATACACTAAAAAATAACATAAATAAAATAAAACCACTCTTTACTCTTCCAATTAATTCGTGTAGTTACTCGTATTGGGTGTCAAAGACTGTAAATGTGTATCAGAGGTTCTTTGTTAATGTTAACAATGTTAATTAACACATTTTCATTTTGTACGTTCGTGAAATAGGTCAGATGAGCCCCTAGTGTCTACATGTACGCAACTGTCTAAGACTATACACCTTTGATCTTGTTAACTGGATAAAAACCAGTTGTCATTATGATCACCTAAAAGTCGACACCTTTTATATAGAAACTTATATCAAGTCTAATGGTCACAGAACTAAGGTGTTTATATTTTCACACAAATTATAGATCCCTGTGTTTCTAAGCTTACAAAAAGTCTAATGGCTACAGAACTGGAAATGATTATATTTTCACACCATTATAGACCCTTGTGTTTTTAAGCTTACAAAAAATATAATGGTTACATAACTGGAGATGTTTATATTTTCACACAAATTATAAATCCTTGTGTTTTTAAGCTTACAACAAGTCTAATGGTTACAGAACTGGATATGTTTATATTTTCACACATATTACAGATCCTTGCGTTTCTAAGCTTACAACAAGTCTAATGGTTACAGAACTGGATATGTTTATATTTTCACACAAATTATAGATCCTTGTGTTTTTAAGCTTACAACAAGTCTAATGGTTACAGAACTGGATATGTTTATATTTTCACACAAATTATAGATCCTTGTGTTTTTAAGCTTACAACAAGTCTAATGATTACATAACTGTAAATGTTTATATTTTCACACAAATTATAAATCCTTGTGTTTTTAAGCTTACAACAAGTCTAATGGTTACATAACTGGAGATGTGTATGTTTTCACACAAATTACAGATCTAATGGTTACAGAACTGGAGATGTGTATATTTTCACACAAATTATAGATCTTGTGTTTTTAAGCTTACACGAAAACTTACGTGGATATGATTTTGTTAGTTTATCTTCCGCACATTTTTTCATTATTTCGAAATAACAGTTATATTAAACAATCAACTATTTATGTAACAAAACAGTCCTGTTATTAATCGTTGCTTTAGACTCTTTTAAATGCCCTGTTTTCGAATAATGTAAATAGTGGATAAATAAGCAGAATGTACTTGAATATCATCGAAATTTAACGTTCTAGTGACTCTAGGTGATAGCTTCCTTAGTCGCTGGCAATATGAGTTCGAACATTAAGAAGTGAAGGGCACTTTAAGTCTTTGTTCCTCCCCGTAGAGCAGTTATAAGATATCGTGCGCTGAAACGATTCAAACGGGGATTATAATGTGTTTCAACGATCACTGTAGTCCTTGGAGTTATTAAGGATCTGATACGGAAAAAAGGCAGAAAGCTCCTGTTAGTGTTAGGTATAACAATTCTCTCGGAGACAGCTCTGTTAAGAGTATAGAGCGAAAAGCGTTTTGTGAAACAGAACCGGAAATAACCTCGACGTCAAGGTCGATGTTACACAAAACTCACTAGAAAAACAGTTTTTCTAGAAACTGACAGCCTCATTTATAATAAGATAACCTGCAAATATACATTGTTAAAGTTTAGCCGAGCATTTCATAGTGTTTATCTCAGTTAGTGAGTATCAAGATGATGTTGATATCCAATCAATTTTTTTCTCTTTAGTAATAAAAACTAGCAGAGATTAAAATCCAGTTAAGATATTTATTACAACAGTACTTCTTTAAATAGAGGACTTCTAGAATAATAGTAAAGAATTTTATCGCATACAATAAAATCTGCAAGTCCGCTTGTTTTAGGCCTAACATCAGTTAAGCCTTTATTATGTACGGCCTATATTCGATAATGAGATAAATTAACATGGTAACTTGTGTACAGTTTTTCTTTTGTTTCATTTAAGGCTAAACTTTTCCGTGCTTAATACTATCAATAAATAAACTTATAATGTTATCCTAAGAACTAACGTTAAACATTTTCGAAAAGTTTGATAAGCTTTTAATGTTGTTGTACAAAATGTCTGCTAAAGTATTGTTACGTCTCCGTTTGTTAATTTATTTTCCGTAAATTCGTTCCGACGAAACTTTAGCGACACAAGTCCTTACTTAATAAAACTGGTTTATTCTTTCTGAATATAACTTCACTTGATTTCAACATTCGCGCTAAAACAAACACTATAACGAACGTTAACTTCAACAATACTTTCTCACTGCAGATCAATTACTCACTACCTACACACATATATTGTCCCGTCACGTTGTCACCTTCTTATATATATATACCAGACTACCCTCAATCTAGTAATCTCACGAAGGTTCGAGAAAGAAGTGGCGTGACACTAGTCACGTGACCTCGCTGACGCAACAGTATATTTGCATTCGCATTTTCTTTATTTCCGTTGAAATGAAGTGCGCGCACATTTTCAGGACAGACAAAAACTGAGTATTGTTATAATAGATATCTTTAAGATCACTATTTACAGTCTAAATTACATTACTGAAACTAGTTATGAAGGGCATATTAAAAATGAAAAAACACCAAACAAGATTCTACTTACATTAGCATTGCAACATTTTAGTTGTGACGCAACGTTGCTAGCGAAACTTTTCACTCACTGTGGAACTCATGAAGGTGGCTAGTGGAAACTTAAAAAAGTTTTAACCGCTATCCATACGTTAACCTAGTGGTCTACAACACTAAAGCTGACGGCGTATCATTTTTTATATTTTTGGATGACAATGTTATAAAACGCTACAATAAAGAAACAGTAATTGTGAAACTTATTCTAATGAGCTCTAATTATGGGCTACTGTTTAAACGCAAATAGTAGACGAAGAAGTAGAATATAATAAGCCTAATATTTGTGATAGCAATAATTTTGACTGCGGATTTTTTCTTCTCACATTCTTTTTTTTGCTTTTTCTATTTCGGATATAAAATGAAAGGTGTATAGAAACAAAATTTTAGTCGTATCTTGTGTCTACTAATGTTACTACACAAAAGGCCTCTTGTGTCTACTAATGTTACTACACAAAAGGCCTCTTGTGTCTACTAA